ATTAAAAAAATTAAAAATAAAATAAAATAAGGCCCAGGGTAGCCCTGCCACAGGCTGTCTAGAGGACACAGTGGCTGTTTTTTTGTCTGGCTCCAGTGAGAATCAAGGCCATAGCTGTCCTGTGTCCATTCTCATTTAGCTTCTTCTAAGGTTCTGTTGAGGTTCCAGATTCTTAGGGGCGAGAAGTGCCATTCCTGTCACAGAAAAGCTGAGTAATGGGCTGACAGCAATGGACCAGACTTAGTCTTCAGGTTGTATAGTGTGTTACCACTACCCCAGCCAGCCTGAGGCCAAAGGCCACACCTGTCTCCCAGTCTAAACTGCCCTTATTAAAGTCCATTTAACTCAGTGGGTTCTTGAAGAGTGGTCCCCAAACCAGTAGAATAATTGCGAACTTTTTAGAAATGCAAATTTTTGGTACTATCCCAGATTGTTGAATCAGAACTTTGGGTTCCAGCAATTTTTTTTTTTTTTTAAGGAACAGTTCTTTTTTTTAAATTTTTAAATGTTTATTTATTATTGAGAGACAGAGAGAGACAGAGCATAAGCATAGGAGGGGACAGAGAGAGAGAGACAGAACCTGAGTCAAGCTCCTGACTCTGAGCTGTCAGCACAAAGCCCGACGTGGGGCTCCGAACTCACGAACCACGAGATCATGACCTAAGCCAAAGTCCTACGCTTAACCGCCTGAGCCACCCAGGCTCCCCAGCAGCAATTTGCTTCCTAAAAATCTTTTGGATGAATCTACTTTCTAAAATTTGAGAACCATTGATATAACTTTAATACTCCTAAAATTAGGTTCTGAGAATAAATAAAGCAAGAACTTGCATAGAACTATTTTACTGAAGAGTCATCATTGCTTGTAGAAATTTTCCTTACTCCAATTCCCTGCAGTTTTCCTAACCTCATGCCTCTGATATGCAAAAGAGACGTTTTAAAGCTTTAATGTAGATTTTTGCTCTTCTTAAACTTGTGATGCATTTCTGTCCATCTGTTCTTAGAAATAAGGGGATTTTGACTAAATTAACCTGTAATATGAGAGAGTAATTTGGGTACTTAAACTCTTTAATTTTGACATTAAAGTGAGTGAGTGAAGGCTTTGCAAACCCTGGGCAATGCAAGTTTCTCAGAAGGCTAACCCAGGCTCTTTAAAGAGTTGTCCTTAATCAACAAGTCCTAAGCATCAGAATCACTTAATGCAATTGGTAAGAACATTGATTTCTTTACTTCACAATAAATCTACTGAATCAAAATTTGAAGATGAAGCTACAAAATCTTTATTATGAAATCGCTTGTGCTCTAATTCTCATGCCCACTGAAGTTGGAGATTGTTTGACCAGAGGGATACTTGGGAGTTTATACAGTTGTGACCAACCTACAAAGCAACAAAAACTGACAAATTAATTTGTATAATTGTCTCACACAGAAAATATTTGCACTTTCATGTGACTTAAAATATTTTTTTTTCTTATCCTGAGATTTCACCTTCAGAGAAATGGTATGCAGTGTCTCATTAGAGTCAGTCAAGTGTAAAAAAGTGAAAAGCGTGACTCAAAATTACAAAGATGTAGGAGTTAAAACAACTGCTACCCGGATTCTTCTATTCACAGGTACATCATGTGATGTACACAGGCACATTAAAAGACCTCAAACTATAACTGTTTCTGACATGCTCAGGGACAAGTTCTTTATAGATCTGTACCTGTGAAAGTTGAGGTTAGGTGCTCAGAGCCTTATACTTAACAGTATGCAAGAATTTAATTAGGGAATAGAAAATAACAAAAATGTATGTTGTTTGGAGATTTTGAAAACTATAAATGCCTGATGTTTAACTTAATTATATTCAGCGCTAGAGTAAAAGGTAAATAATTATTTTGTGAATAGCTATATAAATATAGGTGTTTTTCTTTTAAAAATGTTTAATGTTTTATTTATTTCTGACACAGAGAGAGAGAGCGTGAGCAGGGGAGGGTCAGAGAGAGAGGGAGACATAATCTGAAGCAGGCTCCAGGCTCTGAGCTAGCTGTCAGCACAGAGCCTTACGACCAGCTCAAACCCACTAATCGTGAAATCATGACCTGAGCCAAAGTTGGACACTTAACCAACTGAGGCACCCAGGTGCCCCATTGTTTTTCTTTTATATTGCTAACAAATTCTTGCCAACCAGTCCATTCAAAGCATGTTAGTCTAGACACCTTGGTTTTATAAATGTCTCAACATGAAAATTTTAAAACTAAAATATTTTCGATATAATATTTCCAAAATCTATTAATGAATATTCTATCACATGTAACAGATAATTTTGAATGTACATATGTACACACACATTTGCTTTTGCTTATTGACTTAACAATCATCATGAATACAATGGTGTTATGCAGAGAAGAATGGCATAGTCCATTCAGGATCTTCTGAGGCGAAAGGACTATCTGCCTCTAAACCACATGGTTCTACCTCTGAGACTCCTGTTCTGCGGCCCATCTGTAGTATAACTCAATATACAGAAACTCAGTAATTGCAGTCCTGAGTGTTTTTCTAATAAAACTGCTGATAATCTTGATATTAAATCTACATTTTTTCTTCTTTCTTTCAATTGTGTATGCATAATTGTTTGTGTGTGTGTGACTGTGTGTGTGTGTGACTGTGTGTGTGTGTGTGTGTGTGTGCATATGTGTGAGAAGGAAGAGTAGGAGTAGGACTCGTGGTAGTTGTAGTTATTTTTCCTGCATTCTGGTGGCAGCAACCTTATCTTCTTGCAGAAATTCGCCAATCTAAAAAGCCTTGTTAGAATTGCATGTAAGAGTGAATAGCTGTTGTCTCATAGTCCTGACTTTGAGATGTTTGAAAACATAAAGAATATCAATAGCTGACATTTATGTAGAGCTTTCTATGTGCCTGGCACATAGAAACCGTCTTTGTGGACGGTATTCTATTTAAACCATACACAAGTATCCTTCAATCTTATAAACTCTTTTATACAGATGAAGAAATTTAAGTTTTAAGAGCATAGATTTGGACTGTGAGCCTGTGTTGTCTGACTCAGGCTCTGGGCTTCTACCCTCTAAGCTTTACTACTTTTCTTTCAGCAGAAATCTGGAGTTTGGCCTCCTATATATAATTTCACATCTAAAGGATTCTGATCATCAATGAGATTTGAAAACAAGTAAAAGGATTTTAAGTAAGGTCTTGAAAGAGTTTCCTTTGACTCAAAAACATGCACTTTGGTGTATTTTAAAAATTAAATTTTAAAAATTTTGTTTTGTTTTGTTTTCCTGCTTGTGCCCAGAGAGTTAGTTATGAAACAGCAATCTGTATTCTAGAAACCCATTCAAAAGTCTGAGAAACTAGAATATTAGATGATGTGAGGAAGCCATAAGGAATATCCAGTTATGCTTTCTGCAAAAGCAATCTCCCAAACAGCATTCACATAATTCTGTTTTGTCTGAAAACATATGATAGAACTAAATAGAACCTCCAAACTGATAAGCTGATTGGAAGAAATGAATATAGTTATTGTACGTTATTAACATATAATGTATTAGGAAATGTATCTTATATTGCTCTGATGAACATTATTTAAATCTCTCTTCACTTCAGTTTACTCACTTATAAACTGATAATAACATTTTCCACCTCTAAAAACTGTTGTCAAGAGTAAATCTACCCCCAAGGTACTACTATACTCTATATGAGTTATTCATCAGTAATACACTTGGGTATAGGTTTTTAAAATGTCTTCTCTATTCATAATCTTTTCATGGGCTATTGATTGACTCATACCACATTGTTCAAAAGAAAGAAAAGGTATAAAATGATTTGAAATTGGGCTGACTTCAAAATAAATTTACTTTGGCATGTTTTATGCATTCTATATCAAATCAAGATAAAGCAAGATAGAGGCATAACAGCCTCTTCATTCTGATTCTCTCCATTTCGGCATTTGGTCAGGTAACTGTTAACATCATAAAAAGCAATTGTAATTTAAAAGCAGCTAGTGACAACCCATTGTACATCTTCAATCAACTCACAGTGGGCCATTTATCATGATGATTAGCAGTTCCAGGTACTTTCAGGAATTATAATACTTGTCTGAGCCTTCATTCAGAATTTGAGCTCATTTCTACCATCTAATACCACTAAATGTCACTGAATAAAAGGAAACATTATGTACAGCTATTGCATGAAAAGCAAGAAAAATGATAAATGTTTCTATAGCTACAGGTTTGAAAAAAAAATGACATGTTGAGATATAAACCAGAATAAAAGTCATACACAAGTACATTGTGCACCCTAAATTCTTTTCTCTAAAAGCAAATAGATTAAAATACAAATGTCTAATAGGTATGATGAAGTTTTGGGGTGATGGTGGGGTGGTCCGGAGCCAAAGCCAAGAAAGAATTCTTAAAAACATTTGCAGTGCAAAAAGGCGATTTTATCAAAGCATGTAGGCAGGAACCCAGGGCAGGAAGAGCTCCACTAGGGTCATGATAGGTAACTAATTATCTACCCTCAGGTTGGGAGGGAATCAGGGATAGAGTAAATATCTAGGAATTTTGGAAACAAGGTTTCCAATATTTGAGGGACTAGCTGTTGTGAGGGAAATGTCACTTACTACCATTTAGTAAAATCTCAGTCATGAGACCCTTCGAATGCATATTAGGGGGCCATAACCTTGAAGTATAATTGGCAGTGTATATCTTGGGGGAGTTGAGATAAAGGAAGTTTACAAAGGAATTTTCATATGTTAAAGTAGACTTACAGGATCCTTGAGGTGGGGATAAAGTTAAGCTAAGATTCTCTTTTGCCCCTAGCAAAATGTTGTTGTCCAGGTATCTGAGCTCTTAGAGGGAGGCCACTCTGCTGGTTTCAAGGACTTGTCATCAGGTTAGGCTGTAAGGGAATTTAACTTTTCATTTGCCTTAGTTTCCCACGTTACCATGGTTCCCACAGAACCTTTCCTTTGTTCTTGGGTAGCTAGGACTGTTGAGAAATACCACACATGTTCCACCTGGTGGGGGCTAAGTGGTGCTGTTAGCCTGTATTTTGCCCTCAGCTTTCCATACCTTCCCTCATTAGGTAGTCAGGACACCATTTTCTTAACCAATGGATTCAAGAAAGTGTATAGGAGGTAAGTACAACGTGGTAAAAGATTTTGTGTGTGTTCGTGTACATGTGCACACGCACATACACAGTATCAAAATCATATTTGTACAAATAAAATTAAAGGAAATAACTACCAAAGGCACCTTGACAAGAAAATAGACCATTCCAAAGGAGAGAATTTAGAGCTTTGCCCACTTTATCTTGATTGTTGTTGTTTTGAGTTACTGACTGTATGGGGTCAGAGTTAACATGTAACCTCTACTGAGCACCAGCTACCAGCTCACCTTTCCTTTCTACTTGGCAGAGTCTGTTTTTAACTCTCCAGCGCTCACCTACTGAGAGCTCATCAGAGAGGATGGTGTGCCACTCTGGGTTAGTTTTTCTCACAGGGTGCTATGTTGTAGCTCATACAGCCCCATGACACATAAGGAGTGTGGTCTGTCAGTTGTACGGACTGTATAGATGCACTGCAGGCAGGCTTAGAGAGAGTTGTTTTTTTTTTTTTTAATTTTTTTAATGTTTTATTTATTTCTAGGAGAAAGAGAGAGACAGCGTGAGCAGGGGAGGGTCAGAGAGAGAGGGAGTCACAGACTCTGAAACAGGCTCCAGGCTCTGAGCTGGCAGTCAGCACAGAGCCTGACGCGGGGCTCGAACCCACAAACCGCGAGATCATGACCTAAGCGAAAGTTGGACGCTTAACCGACTAAGCCACCCAGAAGCCCCAGGCTTAGAGAGAGTTTAACTCAATTTGCATCTGTCTAGGAGTATAACTATTAGAAGATATATCGGGGTTTTTCTTAGAAATCTTTTACGGTTCTTTTCCATTTAGATGTAATTAAGGATACTTCAAGATCGAATTATGCATCTATTTTATTGTTTTAACTAATCAGAATGGTTTGCCTATTTCAAGGTCAGTGAGCCCTGGTGGAGTTTGCAAAACAAGGCATGTTTTTACTATCCTACCATTTGGGGTACTTTTCTCTCACCAATCCCAAAGTCTGAAGAAATTCTACATAAGAAAATAATAAAGCAATAAACAAGAGCCTTAAAAATAAATGCATTTGCTGTTTTGAAGTGATAGAGCATATAATACAGTTATAAAATAAGTACAGGGAATTAAGAAACAAGAACAAGTATTTAGGAAAAAGAAGCAAAAAAGTGCATTTGTTGTGATGATCAGCAGATGATGCATGGAAATATTGAAATAGTGTATTATATGCTTGAAACTTCTATAACACTATATGTTAACTAACTGGAATTAAAATAAAACTTAAAAAATAAAGGCAAAGACTTTTTAAAAAATCAAATGAAAAATCTAGATATAAAAATATAACTGCTAACATAAACTTTCAATAGAGGACTTTTATCTGTAACAATATTTTAAGTTTTATGTTGAGAAAAGTTCTTGCTGATTCAGAACACCAAAAATACTGGGATATTTGTAAAGTATTTTTAAAAGCATGGCTGATCAATAGATAGTAAAGAACACAATTCAAAACCAAGATTCAGACAGCTCAGATCTGCGGGTGTCAGCAAACCCTGGAGTGAGAATTTGATTTGATCATCTGTGTTTACCTGGAGCTGGGGTTTTAGTTGAACATTCAAACCTGGGGAACAGGAGGTAAAACCTGGGGTTTTAACAAGATAAAAGAAGATCCGTGACATATGGAATAAAGACAGAAACCCCAAACTACTTAGAATTCATGACAAATTGGGGGAAGAATGTCTTGTAGGAAAGGGTTGTGTAATAACTTGTTTCAGCCATGTCACTAGGTAAAAAGCTGAAAAAAATATTTAAAAAGTTAATTACAAAGTCATCCTCAGTGAGAACTGAAAACACACAAACAGAAAAATGAAAATAGTCTGGAGTTGCTCATGCTCATATATATATATGGAAAAAATAAAATGGAAATTTTTTCTAGGGTTTTGCACTTAAAATACGTGGCTGAAATATATGCTATGGGAATGAGTACACACACAAATACTCACACACAGACATGAACACACGCACAAGAGGAAAAAAGCCACATTAAGCAAAAGGCTTAAGAAACAATAAAATCCAAAATGAGACCTACTCAGACTAATAACAGTAAAATCATCTGGTAAGAAGTAAGTCTTATAAGCAACAATATATGATACACATGTTATGTTTAAGATTGGAAAAATATTAATTGTATATTGAAAGATAAAGACTGTTTTTTAAAATTTAAATAGAACTTCTTGGGGCACCTGGGTGGCTCAGTCAGTTGGGCATCCGACTTCAGCTCAGGTCATGATCTCATGGTTTGTGGGTTCAAGCCCCACGTCGGGCTCTATGCTGACAGCTCAGAGCCTGTAGCCTACTTAGGATTCTGTGTGTCTCCCTCTCTCTGTCCCTGCCCTCCTCATGCTCTGTCTCTCTCTGTCTCTTAAAAATAAATAAACATTTTAAAAAATTTAAATAAAATTTAAAGAGATATATAAAATGTGATAATTAACAATTCAATAGGCATACTTAAAGAGTAGAATAAAAAGAGACTTAAAAGCTTTGATATATTCTAAGAAAGACCTATTTGAGGAAATACTCAGAATGCAGACCAGATAGATGGTATAATAGAGAACATAAAAGTGATATTACAAGCCATGAAGCACACAGGAGAAAAGCTAATATAGGCAAGATCAGAATGTTGGAAGAAGAGACTAGGACATGGAGGAGAGACAATATTTGAAAAAAAAAAAAACACTTTATACGATTGATAAAGGACAACAAGCCAAATGGATATTGATACAACAAATAAAAAGAGATTCAGGCCTAGATACATATCAGAGAATGATTTTGAAATCTGCCAGAAAATACAGACAAGAACTGCAAATAAACTATAATGAAATTAACTGCTGACTTCTTAGCAGCAACAAAGGAAACCAGAGAGAAAGGATTAAAATTCTCAAAGCACCAAAAACCAAGCAAGTGTTGACAAGAACTCTATGCCCTCAAAAATGCATTTGAAGAGAAACTACTGATAAAACCTTTACAAGCAAGTAAAATTAATACTTTACCCAAACCAACTTCTATTAAAAGGACTTATAAGTTATATGCAGACATATATCAAAATGAGGGAAAATCTCCCCACATGGAAAATCTGAGACTCAATAATGTAACAGCGAGCAAAATAAAAACGAAGATATTTGTTATATCTAAAAAGTCTTTATAAAAGAATAGCAATTGTTCTTGTGATATTTAAAATAAGGGCAGAACCATAATACTAAACAGTAATAATGCTGCTAAGGGTTGACCTGAGACAAAATAGTCTAAAGTCCTTTCGGGGCGCCTGGGTGGTTTAGTCGGTTAAGCGTCCGACTTTCGCTTAGGTCATGATCTCGCGGTTCGTGGGTTCGAGCCCCGCGTCGAGCTCTGTGCTGACTGCCAGCTCAGAGCCTGGAGCCTGTTTCGGAGTCTGTGTCTCCCTCTCTCTCTGACCCTCCCCTGCTCACGCTGTCTCTCTCTCTCTCTCTCTCCTAGAAATAAATTTTAAAAAATATATTAAAAAAAAATAAAGTCCTTTCATTGTTTGTGGATGTGAGTAGATTGGTTAGTATGTTGTTGATTCACTGATTGTAATCCTAAATATGCATTTTACAATTTCAAGGGTAAACACTAATTGAAGGCACACAAATGTCTAATTTCTAAACCAATACATGGAGGACAAATGAGAATAGCAAACAAACATAGGAATTCAAAATATAAAAGTAAAGTCAGGGAAAAAAGTAAAGGAAGCATGGAAAAAGCAAGATATGTTAAAAAGTACTATATAAGATAGTCATGGATCACCTGGATAGTTTAGTTAGTTAAGCTTCCAACTCTTGATTACAGCTCAGGTGATGATCTTAGGGTTCACGAGCTTGAACCCCCTATTGGGCTCTGTGCTGACAATGAGGAGCTTGCTCGGGATTCTCTCTCTCATTCTTTTTGCCCCTCCCTCCCTCAAACTTTCTCTCTCTCTCTCAAAAATTTTAAAGAATGATATAAGATAATATAAGAATAATATAAGAACAATATAAGAACAATAAAAGAATAATAATATGTAAGCAATCATAACAAGGGTACATAATCTAAGCTTACAAGTTAAAAGACAGAGATTGTCCAAAAGGACTTTTAACCCAGCTATAGTCTTTTTCAAAGGTCACTCATGAACAAAAAAAGACATATAGGGCTGAAAGGAAAAAAGAGGGGAAAAATATACCAGTGAAAAACTCACCAAAATAAAGCTGGAGTAGTTATATTAATAACAAATAAATATGTACTTTAAGATAAAAGCAACACCAAAAAATAGTGGTATTACCTAAAGAGAAAAGGTTTAACTTAATTTACCAAAAAGATAAAACACATTTAAACTTATAATCATTTCATGTCTCCAACTGTATTTTATAAAACTGGTAGAAACATGGAGAGGAGTTTTATAAATCCTACATCATACAGTAACTCTCAAAATATCTTTCAATTTTATAGATGAGGTGCCTCACCAAAAAAGGTTACATATAGAAGAATTGACAACACAACTAATACCTCAATATTATTTATTTATTTATACATTTATTTATTAAACTTCTTCTATGTGGCAGGTACTGCTTTAGTCGGTGCTTCTTAATCCATATTCGCAACATATGCTAGGACTAAAGTAATGTTAACATACTGAAAAGGAGTGAAATCATGTGCAGAGATGAGTACAATGAGTACAAATGATAATTATATGCAATTGAAAATTACAACACTTCCAAATAACGTAAATGTTGAAAAAACAAAAAAGTAACATACAATGGAAAATCTTAAATACTTAGAACTTAGAGCTATTTGATAATAAAATTACACGTCAAAGTCATAGAAGTTCGTTCTTTGAAATGACTAGTAAAAAGGCAAAATTCTATTGAGGGGAAAACAAAAGAAAATTAAACTATATCAAGAATGAAATAGGTAGGTATCTATACATGGAATGTAAATAAAATGAGATATATTGCACATAATTTCAGAAAGCCTGAAGTACCTCCAAACAATAAAGACGTTGAATTGGTATTTTAAAATTTTCTGAGAAAAAATCAACATAAATAGTTATGAGCTAGAAGTTATTAAATTTAAAGCCAGAATTACTTTTCAGTCCTGTACAAACCATTCCTGATAGAAAAGGAAGGGGAAATATACCCAATTTATTCTGAGAAACCAGCATAAATTTAAAGTGAACAAACAAAAACATACAAAGGCAGCATAATAAGGGGAAATTATAGGCTAACTTCATTAATGAAAAAAAAGGCAAAAGTACTAAATACAATATTCATGAAGTAAATCTACAAGTGCATTTGAAATAATCAATCATGAGCAGACTACTCATCACATTATCATATTAAAGGAATAATGTGATTATAATATTTGCAGAAACATTTCAAAAAGATTAAAAATTTATTTATTACAAACAATTGACACACTTGGACAAGAAGACTATTTTCTGATCATGATAAAGTTTAGATACTAAAGAAATACAAAAGTCATTCTTAAAGCTAAAATGTGAAGTGTATTTGCTTTAAGTTAGTAATAAAATGAAGATACACACTTTTGTAAATATAGGGTTTTTAATTTTTAAAAACGTTTATTTATTTTTGAGAGAGAGACTCAGTGCAAGCAAGGGAAGGGGCAAAGAGAGAGGGAGACACAGAATCTGAAGCAGGCTTCAGGCCCTAAGCTGTCAGCACAGAGCCCGATGTGGGGCTCAACCCAAGAACTGTGAGATCATGACCCAAGTTGAAGTCAGATGCTTAACCGACTGAACCATCCAGGCGCCTGAAGATGTCCACTTTTATTGTTTCTATTTAATATTTACAAGTCCTAGACTAAACTGCAAGACACAAAAAATATCTATTGATTGATTGATTCAGGAATAAGGAACATAAAGGAAAGACAAACTTTTTCTTGGCACATGATATGATACTCAGCAAAGTAATTCTAAAAATATCTATAGATTTTTAAATATAATTGGAAAATTTTTGTATGACTATTTATAAGATTAAATCTGCTTAGAAAACTATGTAAAAACAATTAGATTTAAATTTCTAAAGCATACCATCTATTCTTTTCCTTTAAGACACAAATAAAGGAGAAATTTAATCTGTGATGTTAGAAGTCAGCAAGGTGATTTTATTTGGAGAAGTTTATTACTAGAAACAATACAAGAAGGCGTTTTGAGGTGATGGTAGAGTTCTGTTTCTTGATCTGGGGCTGATATAGACATGTACAGTTTGTAAAAATTCATTCATCTCTATAGTCAAGATACTTAACGGAAAATTCTACTTTAACAAAAGAAAACAAGTAACTCAGGAATTACTTTAAAAAGAAATTAAATTATTTAAAGTGTAAATGAATTGAAATAAAAAAGTAATTTTACTGAAAAAATTTGAGAAATAAACAAACATAGAGATATACCACTTTATTGGATGAGATGTTTCAATATTGGAAGATATCACCATGGAAAGATCTCAATCCCAGACTGACCTATATATTTAGCACATATCCCAACAAATTTGGAATTCTTCAAGCTGAAAGTAAAAGTTATGTGGAAAAGCATATAGCCACATGCATAGCAAAATGCTACTAAAGAAACAGCATACTTACATAAAATGTAAAATAAATGAGGCTCACATATGCCAAATCAATTTCATGTAGATTAAGAAAATACTTGACTGAGACCAGCTCACTTCAAACTTAGAAAAAATACAAGGGGATCCAGATGGTCCCCAATTTATGATGATTCAACCTACAATTTTTCAACCTTGTAATGATGTGAAAGCTGTACACATTCAGTCGAAACCATACTTTGAATTTTGAATTTTGATCTTTTCCTGTGTTGGTAATATGCAGAACCACCGTGAGCCACAGATCACAATCAGCTACACCATCACCAGGGCAAACCACCAATGCACTTACCAGCATTCTATACAACCGTTGTTTTTCACCTTCGGTAGAGTAGTTCAATAAATTACAAGACATAGTCAACACTTTATATTTTATTTTTATTACTTTTAATGTTTGTTTATTTTTGAGAGAGAGAGAGAGCCAGAGTGTGGGCAGGGGAGGGGCAGAGAGAGAGGGAGTCAGAGAATCTGAAGCAGGCATGACCTGAGCCGAAGTCAGACACTTAACTAACCGAGCCACGCAGGCACCGTCATAGTCAACTCTTTATAATAAAATAGGCTTTGTGGCATTGTGTATTCAGACAATAAACTATTTATCATTAAAAAAATAGGAAAGACAACAACAAGCAACCCCATAGAATGTTGGGCAAAGACCAGAAAGATGTGTTCCAGAAGACTGAAAGAAAAAAGTGCTGTCTACTTATGAGAAATTCAGTTGCATTGATGAGGTGATTCAAAATAAAATACAAAATACTGTATCTTACTGGTACACACACACACACACACACACACACACACACACAAAAGCACAACTTCCTGACACAATGTAAATGTTGGCAAATATTAAAAGTTCATGAGAATATGCAGCATAACATTTCTTGCACAGTATTATAGAAATTTAAATAGGGATGATCTTTTTAGAAAACTGCTCAGGAATTATGTAGCAAATATAAAAATGTAAGCACCTTACAAACCAAGAATTCCACTATTTTACTCCTGGGTAGCTACTCTGGAAAACTCTTACACATTTCTAGTCTCTTTATTTTTTCTTTCTGAAACTCTAAATGGGTATTGGGGTTTCTGTATCAATGTTATATGACCCTTAAAATTCCTTTCATACCTTCAGTTTCATTATGTCTTTGTGTAATCTTCTTAAAGATTTCTTAATTTAATTTTTCAGCTCACTTATCTGCTCTCCAGCTATATCATATGCTATCTACTCACATTAGTTTTATGTCTTTATTTTGTAGTGTAGTTTGTATTGTAGTTTGTATTGCACAAACTATAGGATATCTACAAGTATTGATAATTTTAAAAATTATAAACCGAATTCCTGATACACTTAAAATTCCACATAAAAAAGAATACACTGATAGTATCTTTGGAGTCCTCTTGATTATTCATAAGGAGAACACAACTAAAGAACATTCCCCTGATGGGATTTTGTTTATTTCTCGTCAATTCCCTCCCTAACCTATTGTGGTCATTTTCTTGCAGTGAGAAGGCTTAGTGCCGCTTGATGAAGCCCAGACTTTAATTAAACCAGTGAATTTTTCTCTTCTTCCTGTTATATTAAGACTTGTTTTGAGGATTGCTACAATACATGAGTCCCCTCGCAGATGCTTCAGAAGGAGCGACGTGGGTTTTCTTTTCTTTATGGTTGTCATCAACTCCATCTCTGCTGCCTCTCCATCAATCTTTTCTACCCATCAATTTGGTCACAGTTCCTGCGTTCCTCCTCTCCAACTTAAAGATAGTTGAGGTGAAAGGGAAAAAAAGATGAAGAAAACTGGGTTCAATGAACAGAACCAAGTACTGTCAGATATCTTTTATCTCTACCTATTTGCATTCAAAAAAACACGGAATGACTGACTCACAGTGTTTTATTTACTAATTTGTCATTTCACAAGGTTAGTAGACAATTAACCTGAGATAGACTTCAAAAATTAGGGCAGGAGGAAAGGGAGATGGAGCACAGTTCTTGCTCCTCATATTTGAAAATAGTATAAAGTCTTGGTAGCTTTTTCAATTACAGGGGGTGCAGGGAGAGGATGAGGATAGTATAATCAAATATAATTTGTAAATAAGGCAGATGCTACTGGTCCCCATACCCATTACTCCCTTTAATAATAAAATCTCTGAATTTTAGATGAGAACATAGCATTCAGAGTCAAGACTGGATTTCTCACTCAACATGCCTTGCAGCTAGGTGTGACCATGTAGCTCAGTTCTGACTGATAGGATGGGGACAGAAGAGATCTGTTGCCTCAATCTTTCTGTTCTCACCTTCCTGAAAACTGATATGTGGACGTAATGGTGGGAACAGGAGCATTGGACTATAAAATAAGAGATGCATTTTAGTATTTCAGCAAGATAGAGGAAATTTTTGCATCCAACATGAACAAGCCACTGTAGTAGCTCTGAATCACATGCATACACCCAGGGCAAAAATGTACTTTCACTTTGATTAAGCCACTGTTGTTTAGGTTTACTTTGCTATAATAACTTAACTTGCAACCTAATTATTATAGCATCCTTACAAGACTAATGTGGATTTGTCAACATATAACACTAATATTATAAAAAAAATTAAAAAATCATTAAATTATGGATAAATTGAAATGTGTGGTATTTAAACATTCTGTTTGTTTGCTGAAACTATATTTTATTTTCTTTAAATAATATATGTATTACTTATAATATAATATGCTTTAATTTACTTCTACAACTAAGTGAAAATTATCTACATCTTATAATGATATCAGGGCTAGAGTCTACTGCTATCTTTAAGTAATAACATAAAATAAAAACATAAAACAAATAAATGACTACTTTCAATCTAGAAATGAAAATATATTCTAGTTATCATTTTCCAAGTATTCTTTGTTACAAGTGTGCTTTGGATCAATTCTGTTCCATTAAAAATATATACATAAATAACCCTATGACTAATACTTGATCTTTTACTCATAATCTTATTACAGAAAATTTGTTGTGTATGTTAGTGAAAGTGGAAAGGGAACCTATTTCAAATCATTTAATATATATGGCATAAATATCCAATTGCTCATCTAAGTTTAATGCTTTGCAAAAGTTGTATTAAATCTCATTCGATTTATATCAATCATTGTTATATCAAAATTACATACCAGTTTTTTCTAAACTTTATCAAAATTATTAAAATGATTTGCTCTACTTTCTGTTTTATATATTCCTACAGAATACATAGAAAAAGCTTTCACCAGTTCATATCAGCATTTGGTAACCCTAAATGCCTGGTTACATAAATCTGCTGATCACACCCAGGCTTTAGGAATAAACATGTAATTAATAGGAATAATAAGAAAACTCATTGCTTGTGTATCTCATAATATATTATTTCAGAGCAATTAACAGAGAGAGAGAGAGAGAAGTAGTTGGCAGTTCAAGCTCCCTTCAAAATAATTTTTGTCAATTCAGTTTATTTTAGGACAGGAAGCGCATCTGACACAAAATGTAAAAGAAACAAAATATCTTATAAAAATCTTCATTCTCTGCTGTCAGCAGCCATTCACTTCTGTCTAGAGATTACTGTTACTACTTTTATGTGTTCTTCAGTCTGTTTATATTCTTGTTTTCACAGTAATATACATATCTTATCATACCTTGCCTTTGTACCTTATTTTAGTATTTATTTTTTGAGTCAGAATATCTTGGGGTATACATCTCTATTAGTGCTCATGGAACTACTGCACAGTATTCAATTATATGTATGTACCGAGAACTGTTTTTAACCAATTTCCAATATTTATGGGTAATTAAGATGTTTCGAAACTTCTATAAAAATATTGCAATTGGGGTGTCAGGGTGGCTCAGTTGGTTAGGTGTCTGACTTCCACTCAGGTTATGATCTCACAGTCCTTCTGTGGGTTTGAGCCCCACATTGGGCTTTGTGCTGACAGCTCAGAGCCTGGAGCCTGTTTCAGATTCTGTGTTTCCCCTCTTTCTCTGCCCTTCTCCTGCTCACACTCTTTCTCTCTCTCTCAAAAATAAATAAACATTTAAAAAAGGAAATTTTTTTAAAAATTGCAATTAATATTACCTATTATATATGTGTGTTTTCATATCGTATCTGTAATATTAATATCTAGAATGTTTGAGTCAAAAGTTATATACACATTTAACTTGAATAGTCACATTTTTATTCATATTTATTGTAGTAATTTACTTTCCAACTAGCATTAGATAAAAATTCCTTATCCCTTACCTTTCTCTTACAATCAGTGCATTGTCAAACATTCTCACCTTTGCCAACCAATAATCAAAAATGAATTCTCCCTGTAATTAGTTACACGTCTCTTACAATGAATATTATTCTTAACAAGCCATGTGTATTTATTTTTCTTTTTTATATGCCTTATCCACATTTTAATTGAGTCATAGTACTATCTGCTATCTAAGAAGTCTTTCTATATTAAGGGAATTCTTTCTCTTTCTGTAATATGAGTTACAAATAATTTACCTATCAGTCATTTGTGTTGTGATTTTTGGTAGTGGTATTTTCTTTCACATTTTACCAATTTTAAATAATTCATTTATGAGTATATTTTTATAAATCTTTGTTTTTATGTCTTATCTAAAAGTCCCTTTGAACTTTGAGATTATATATTGTATTTATTTTCATATTTTTAGCTTTAAATTATAGAAATATTAGAAATGAATTATCTTACTAACAATGAGATAGGAACTATAGAAGTTCTACACTACTTAGAACACTATTTAGTGGAAGTTATTGATATTCTTAATTCTCTTTATAAACATAAGCTAGAATTATATTTCCCTACTTTTTAAAATTCATTGTAGTCATGTGACTTACTTTGTCCAAAAAAAAGAAAAGTGAAAATTGTCATGTGTCCCTTCCAAGTCAAAATTTTCAGTCGATGTACAATTCACTTTTCTTCCACCAAAGTTTTTTTTACTTATCCACAGAGAGTAGCTGTTTGGATAACTTGGGTCCTCAAAGTGGAAGTGAATATACCACTTGGCAGAGAGCTCCATTCAAACCACAGTGAAACCTGTGGCATGAATAGGGTGCTTTTTATTGAATCTTTACAGTTTTCCTCTTCCAAGCACATGTAAGGTTATTTTTTCTTATTATCCACCTTGTAAGCAAGTGCAAATGCACCTTACTTTGGCTAAAGACACGAAAATCAAAGTCATGTATTTGTCACTTTGTTTAGAAGCTTAAAGAACCAATGCATAATGTGCCATCTTTTTCTTCTACAGTTTTCCAGAAGGGGCATCAAGAAAGAACCTCATTCAGCTGAGTGCCTAAATACAATGCAGGGCAGTGTCTCCATCTAACCTACAATGCACATGTAGCATAAAAAAGAAATCTTCCTTTTTTTTTAAAGTCATTGATATAGGGGGATTGATTAATACTGCAGCATATCTTAGCTATTCCTGACTTGTTTCCTCTGCCACCTTCTGATGGCAGAAGGGTTCAATACTACTTACTGAACAATCTACTTTTTTCCTTTTTTATTTACTACGTATTATATCCCTGAAAATATCTGGTCTTGTTTCTGAGTTTTCCATTCTATTCCATTAATCTGTGAATTCTTCATTGAAAAGTACAGTATCTAAATTATTGTAGGACTGTGACTTTTAATATCTAAAATAAAAGCCTACCATCATTACTCTTTATTTTCAAAATTTGCTTGGTTTTTCTTGTTTTTGTTTTTCACATGAAGTTTACAGTTTAACTTTTTAAAAAAGCCTTATGTGTACTTTTGTTGGACTGTACATTAATTGATGAGTTTGTTATCATTCTTATATTATCATTTGTTTTGTGATTTCTAATAGTTAAGTGCAAAACTAAAACTATTGTATAGACTGTTCCAGGTATTTATTATTATTTTTTTTTAATTTCAGAGAGAGAGGGAGAGAGTGGGGAAGATGGGCAGAACGAGAGAGAGAGAATCTTAAGCAGGCTCCACACTCAGCATGGAGCCCAACTCAAGGCTCAATCCCACGACCAGAGCTGAAGTCAAGAGTTGGACGCTCAACCAACTGAGCTACCCCTATTTCAGTTATTTTAAAAATGATTCATATATACACAGGGTATTTATAACAACTTATTCCAAGAAAATATATAATTAAGATGGTCACTATGATTTAATCATTGCAGTTTTTTTAAATAAAATTTGTTCCATTTTCCATATAGCATGCATAAAACTCTCATTTTATGGGAGTCCCAGCATACAACAGAGTATGACCAATCAAGAGGGAAAGACTGATCCTAAGACATTTTAAAAAAAGATATTCACTTCTTAGTTTAATGGTGAAGAGAGAAGACTGAAGAGCCAGACCACTTGGATTCTCATCTAGATTTTGTTATTTACTATCATGTAACTTTGGGCAATTTATTGAACTTACCTGTATAAGACTATTTCTGGGGAAAAAAAGAGACCTACAAACTCACAACAATGTGAAGCCTTATAAAAAGTTCCTCAGACTTAAAGAAAAATAAAGATAAAATATTTTAGAAAGGAAAAAAGAAACACAGATCACATAGAAATGATTAGGCATAGTTGCACCTGAGTGGCCCCTTGGTTAAGCATCCAGCCCTTGGTTTTGGCTCAGGTCATGATTTCACTGTTCGTGGGATCGAGCCCTGTGTTGGGAGCCTGATTAGGATTCTCTCTCTCCTCCTCTCCCTCCCTTCCCCACTCAAACAAGCACTTAATCTCTCTCTCACAAAATAAATAAATAACATTTAAAATAAAAGAAATGATTAGGCATCAGGCAACTTTGAGCTTTTCAATAACAACATGGGAAGCTGGATGCAAATGAAATAATGCCTTAAAAATTCTGAGGAAAATAAGTTTCCAGCTGGAATTCTACATTGGACTAAGCATTAACTACATAGGAGAGTAAAATGAAGACATTAACAGAGGCAAGGACTCATGAATTTTATACCTATGTACTTTTTTCCAGGAAGATATGGGAAGATTTACTTCATCAAAATGAGGCTATAAAATAAGACAGAGAAAGGAATGAAATTTAGTGAAGAAGAGATTTACTTTGGAAAAGAACCAAAGAAAATCTCTAGAAAGGTGAACAAAAGCCAAGGGAAGTCATTCTTCTGCTTGCCCATTCAGACAATTCAGATTGGTGCAAAATATAATGGGCACAAATAAGGATATATTTGGGGGAGAAAGTGGACCAGATGGATCATCTGATGTGTCTGGTCCCATTGAAAACGCCTTCTGGTCCTTTTGTGGATTAGCCGTTTGTGGATTAGCAATAGTTACAATGAAATGTCAACTACAGAAAAATCAAGGCCAATATATCACGGGAAAAGAAACAAAATAGGGATATAACACGTGATTGAGTTAAAAGCTGATTTACAGTTGAAATGAATATTGATCCAAAAAAATTGTGAAATCAATGCATTGAAAAGATAGAAAAGAACTATTTGTCTGTGCATATGTGTGTGTAAAGTCTTATATTCCTTACGTAGGAAGTCAATAAAGCATGTCGAAATAGAAAAATCAACAAATATCCATATACATGTTTTATTTTTAAAACTAACATTAACTTCAGGGTAAAAATATCTGAAATTGAGTTGAAATTTTTTGCTTCATAGAAAATATTAGGGATAGGAAAATGAGATAGGAGACTACTCTTGTTCTTTAAAAGCCTTGCATTTGACCTTCAACAATGTACATAGGTTGTTATTTTAATAAAAATTCCAATTGAAATTACAAAACTAAAAGTGAAATTGAAATAATTTTCAAAAGAAAGAAAAGTGTAAACTTGACACTGATTGTACAGCTTAAAAAGTATTTTATTAGTTAGAGAAGTGACTATATTTATAGGTAAAATAAAAAGTCTTATTGGAAAAAGTAAATTATAAAAAGAAAGGATATGTCATAAATTAGTATATGAGTAAACCACCTTAAAAAGTCACAGAACATACACAGTGATACTCTTAAGGGCCAAATAGTAAACAGAGCACAAAAAGAAACCCAATTCAAATTTACTAATATATAATTTGTATATCTGTCCCATATAAATGTGCATATTTTACCTTTCATTTTACCACACACCAGGAACAAGGATATGATTTTGCTTTAAAACAACTGAAAGAGATGGTGTTTGTGAAATGAAAAGTAAAAATTGAAAAGCTAAGACTTTAGAAATGTAAATTCACCTTCAGCATAAAACAACTGCCATTCTGTTTGACATTTAAGAAGAGAACAATTTGTTAATTTCTAACTGTTTTCTATTACTATGACATTAGTCACTGACCCAGATGAATTCTATGTGAAAGTAAATACAGTGCTACTTATCCATTAAAAATCAGGACATTTTTAGATAATGCTTTGTCCACGATTCTCTTTTCAAGCCCATAATTTATTAAACTGATGCATGCAGCATTTAGAAGCGACCATTATCATATTAGCACTGTGCTTTCTGAACAGGAAAGAATAATCCTTTATGCTTCTGTTTGCATTTTTGTTCCTTAAAACTAATTACTGATTTAGGATGTTATGGTCCTGAGGATAAAAAGTGAAGTGAACAAATTATTGTATCAAATCCTGTATATTCATATACATGCAATTGTTAACAGTGACTATGAATAATGATGATTTAAGAATATATATAAGCATGCACTTAAACTAACTTTTATTTTTATAGGTACAAACTTATGTATATACAGATGTAATGTTTGTTTTAATATTCTACTAATTACATCACTCCTGAGCATGAATATATTCATATGTTGAATTTTTGTTTCTTATTTTAGTAAGATAATTCTTGCTCCATTAACATTATAGCAAATAAACTGGAATGAACTATGATATGCAAGAAGAGTAAAGACAATGGACATGAATAATAGCTGTGGTAAAACTGCTTCACCCTCATGCCTCGGCAGACTTGGAGAAGAGCAAATGAGCAACTGAATTATCTATATAGAATCTTAAAAAGGAAACTCGAGGAGCGCCTGGGTACTCAGTCAGTTGGGGGTCCAACTTCGGCTCAGGTCATGACCTCGCAGTCTATCGGTTTGAGCCCTGCATTGGGCTCTGTGCTGATAGCTCAGAGCCTGAAGCCTGCTTTGGATTCTGTGTATGTGTGTCTCTCTCTGCCCCTCCCCTGCTCATTGTCTCTCTATTTCTCCCCCGCCTCTCAAAAATAAACATTAAGAAATTTTTAAAAAAGTAAACAAGTTCATGAAAAAAAAGATAAACCTAACAACTCTTACTTATTTCACCATGTAGGACATGGAAAATTGCCTCAGAGTGTCTGTATGCAATGAGCATAATATAGGCACAGTGACTGACTTTTGAAATATACCTGTCAACTCAAACAATAAAACCCAAACAATCAACTGTGAGATTATCTGCTATTACGTGCAAGACTAGATGGGATGCATTTGAACAGAATATATCTATTTCCCTGAGTAAGCAAAACAACCAGAAAAGAGTAAATTGCTTAATGACATGACTATTCCAAACATAATAGTTCTCTACATGTCTCCTTTCTCTGAGATAACTACAGTGCTGAATTCCAACTAGGTTTGTTTTTAAGTATTCTCTTACTGAGGAATACTTTTAGTTTCTTTTTAAAACAAAGGAGGAGAAAAAATGTGAAATAAGGTTTTTGAAAAACGATTCCATTTCTTTATTGCCGGTCTCACATTAGCACTTGACCGCCAACCATTATAGACATGCACCGTGGCTATAAAAATCTGAAAGAGTATTAGGTGTCCTGTGAGAAGAAAGCTTTAATTTGGAAATCCACTCCATTCATTAGAATCCGCAGTTGTTCAGATGTTGCCATTGATATCTGGCATTTGACTATTATTGGACACTTTATGGATGTGGAGTCAATGAAGGAATCCTCACATGTGCAAAATGTGAGGAACCACACAAGCCACAGGGGATGGGGGTTGTTGTCTCACCATTATAGATGAGAAGCAAGCCTAAAAAAATTAAGCTATAGATGAGAAGCAAGCCTAGAAAAATTAAGTGACTTAACATGGTTACACTATAGCTATCTTCAGCTGACTCAGGAAATGCTTAAAACAACCTGTTAAGTCAAAGGATAATAATTCCTATTAGGCTTTACGTGCATTTAGAGCAGTTGTTCTTGACCCTGGCTGCACATCGGAATCATATGCACCATAGTAAGACCATGGCCCCATCCCAGGCCAATCAGAACCTCTGGGGGTTAAGCCCTAGGCACTGTTTATTTTTTAACTCTTTAGGTTAAAATTCTATATATATGCAAATTGAGGGTGCTAATTCAGAAAAATGTTATGTATGAAATATTTTACCAACAATAAAATAACTTACATTTGCAGGATTTGCCTTCAAAAAGCAGAGAAGAGACTGAATTTTTAGAAGCTTTGCCTTAATTTCACTATGATGTATTTACTCAAAGGATAAAAAAATACTTATTCAAAGGGGCCCATACACCCCAATGTTTATAGCAGCATTATCAACAATAGCCAAATTATGGAAAGAACCCAAATGTCCATGGACTGGATAAAGAAGATAT